TGTGCGCCAGGGTGGTGCTTCATCTGCTCTTCATCCTCTCACACAGCCCTGTTTGAGACACCTGATAGAATACTGAAACCCTTCCTCTTCCTCCAAGGGGGTCCTGTACATGGAAAGGGGGTTACAAGTCTAGAGCAGGCAAACTTCTGTAAAAGGCCAGGCAGTAAATCTTCCATGCTTTTGAGGCCAAAGGTCACATTGAGGATATTATATAGATACATATATAAAAAGAATGAAAACACATTTTCATAAAATCTTCATTTATAAAATATAACAATAGTAATAATAATAGAGTATAATTTTTTATATGACAGGTCTTCCAATGAGAAGAATGCCATTGGGGGGGGGTGGAACATAACACCTAACTTAATTGGGGTTCAAAGTTCATGTTCTCTATCATCAAACAGATTGCAATTGTTTTATCTATAAAAACTATTCTTAGCTTTTGGACAACACAGAAACAGGTGGTGGACTGGATCTCACCCATGGGTCATAATTTACCAACCTCTGGTCAGTAAATAAAAAAGTTCTGGGAGATCTAAAAACATTAGAGATACACAAAGGATGACCCAAGAGCATTTTCTCTGTGACATGAAGTTCTGAGAGGTGTCCTTCCTTCAGATGTTAAACCTTTACTTTTCTGTGCAGTTGACTGTATTAGTTGTAATAGAAAAGAGCATACAGTTTAGAAAAACTGTAGGCGCATTGCATCTCAGGGATTAAGTGGCTGCCTCAGCGAGACAGTTGAAGAAAGCGCTCCTCTAGCTGATGGCCACCAGGCATGTCCCACTCTTTTTCCTTGCCTGCACAGATGCCTCATCTGCTGCCAACCCGGCTCCCCCAGCCCCACGCCCACCCATGCTGACCCTCAGCACTGGGCCACAGCCAACCCCTGAATACCGGGGCGGGGGTGGAGGGGAAGAAGAAGCAGCAGCTAGAAGGGAAGCACCTTGCCAAGGGCCCCTTCCCCTTCCTCCTTGCCGAGGTCCTTCTTTTCTACCTGCTGACTCAGAAGGGGAAGGGAAAGGAAGGTCATTGAAAGATGCTTGCCACCCTCATTCCCCACGTCCTGCCAGCTGCTTTGTCACAGCAGCAGAAGGAACTGGAAGGAAATCCTGCACTGTGGTACTCATCAGCCACTGTCCCTTCTTCATCTCTGTGCTCCTCATTGCTGTCTGACTGTACATCCCCAGGGAGAGTCTGTGGCCTTCAGAAAGACTCTGTACCCGATAGCCAGCTGCAGGGAGGGGAGTCCTTGCTCCTATGATGTCACTGGGGGGAGTGGGACCTGGTGGCATTTTTCTTAGAAGTCTCATCTTCCAGGGCGCTGTGGTATTCTAGACCACAGTCTACACTGGGGTCATAGACTGCTAGCATCCTGGCTACTCTGTTCCTCTCTGTCTTTTTTTTTTTTTTTAATCATCTTAACTTTTGTTGTCTTTAAATCCTTACTCTAACACAGGGGTCCTCAAGCTTTTTTATTTTTGGAGACAGAGTCTCACTCTGTTGCCCAGGCTAGAGTGAGTGCCTTTGCATCAGCCTAGCTCACAGCAATCTCAAACTCCTGGGCTCAAGTGATCCTACTGCCTCAGCCTCCCGAGTAGCTGAGACTACAGGCATGCGCCACCATGCCCGGCTAATTTTTTTCTATATATATTTTTAGTTGGTCAATTAATTTCTTTCTATTTTTAGTAGAGATGGGGTCTCGCTCAGGTTAGTTTCGAACTCCAGACCTTGAGCAATCCGCCTCGGCCTCCCAGAGTGCTAGGATTACAGGCGTGAGCCACCATGCCTGGCAAACTACTAACTCAGACTTTTCAAACAGGGGGCCAGTTCACTGCCCCCCAGACCATTGGAGAGTGCACACTGTGGGCCTGGGACGAGTCAGCTGCTATGCAGGACAGGCAGCAGCGGCAAAAACACCTGGCAGGCCGGATAAATGTCCTAGGTGGCCACATGTGGCCCGAGGGCAGTAGTTTGATGACGCCTTCTCTAACATTTTTCCCCTCCTTCCCTTATGTTCAAACTCTCCTTTCTACTGCCTCCTTTTCTTCAGTCTGTACATGTGCCCCCCATTCTCTCTAACCCAAAAACGTCTCTACCCTCTTTGCCCCCGAGCTTCCACCTCTTTTCTCTCCTTCCCTTCCCTTCCAAACTTCTCCCTTCAGTGCCACTTGCCCCCATACCATTTCCTTTTCCACCTCATCGAATTCGGCAGCTCCCTCTGCAACTCTCCTGAAGCTACCAGATTTGCCAGGACCCAGTGGGTGCACACGTGGCATCCAGACAGTTTGCTCCCAGCCAGACTCTTCCAGATAAGCCTCCTTCAGAATTAAACTGGGGTGAGTCTCTTTCTTCACCCCTCAGACAGATGCCGCCCCTCCATTTCCACACCTTGCCTGTGACGGGCTTGCCTCCCGGCGTGCCCTTCCCCCCCAGTGAGCTTGTCCCAGTGTTCCTCTTCCTTCAAGTCACATCTCCACCATGCTCTCCCTGAGCACCCAGAGTTGGCTTGATCACTTCCTCTCGAAACATCTCTGGTGGTCTATGCTTGGGTCATTCCTCTCACACTTACAGTCTTCCTTATTCTGTTACAGGTGTTGTGTATATGTTCTGTCTTCCCAGTTAGGGTGTTTGCCTCTTAAGAGCAGGCCCTGTGTCTCATGCCCCGGACTGTCCTCGAGGCCCAGTACTTTGTAGTTTTAATAGTTCAGGAACAGTTGGTCAGCCCCTGAGGAGGGCAAAATCGATAATATCCAACTGGGAGCTTCATCCCCACGTGGACTCGTGACCAGGTTTAGTTTGCTATTAATACTTCTGCTTCTCCGCTCTAATACGACTGACCTGCCTCTCCCTCTCCTTTGGAAACCTTTCCTGAGCCAAAATAGGATGTCTTCCATCTGGAAATATAGCTCTGTGAAGTGAATCATGTGAAGTCCCCCACACAAAACTAACTGTTTTTATGTTACACTAATCCAGACTTTAACTCACTCATAAGCTTCACTTAGAAGCAAGGGCTGTGAGCCACTCTTAGACTCAGGCCAGTCCATGCTCACTCAAAACACACTTCAGGTAAGAGGTGAAGGCACCCCACTCCTCGCCTAGAATTCCCTTCTAGAAAAGCTTTAAAACTGACTTCATTTTCCTCTGAATGAATTTGCCCCAAGGCTACGTATCCATTAGCTATCTCAGGTGTTGATTATGATGCATTTTAAGGAGACAGGCAGAAAAGGTTGTTGCAATCAGTGAACATTTAGTAAATTCTTACAAGTTAAGCAATGTGTGTATTTGTTACAGAGAACCAGGAATCCAACACAAGTAAAAGAAGTAATCAGCCCAGTTGGGTCATTCTAGAATGATCTGGCCAAAACAGCTGAGGATTCCCTGCCAGGGAAGCGTCTTGACAGGAACTTGCCTTTTTGGGGGGAGGTTCCAGAAGAGTCTTACTTTGTTCTCATCCTCTGCCCATGGTTCCTTTCTCCTCCCAGCTGCTTGAAGTAACTTGATCATGTTGCACAGTCCCAAGCTCTGATCCCTAGGGTACCTGGTTAGTGAGTGTCCTTCTAGCTTTGGATATTTGTTTTTATAACTCTTTCATATTCAAAAATTCTATTTGTTTTATAAAAGGGATGTCCTCTTTAAAGAATTTCAAGGATAAAGAGGGCTTTCACAATTTATTTTTATTGTACTCACTTCTCTATGAGGAAAAGGCTTTTCATGAATTAAAGGGCTCATCTCACTGGCCAAAGTGGCACTTGGAGGCTTCCATGAAGGAGACAGTCTATGGGATTCTGGTCATCCAGTAAGCAAACCAACAGCTGGGTGTCTCTGGCTGTTGTACAGGAACTGGACCGCTGCTCATTAATGCAGAAGTGTATTTGGTCACTATCGGCAGAACTAATGATGCAAACAGAAAACAGTGTACATGTGGTTGGACTCATTTGTTCCAGGAAGACAAAAACTGCGTACGTGTGAAGCTGAGCAATCGGAAGGCCATGCACCATTTTCTGAGCTACCCTTTTGCTCCTCAGCCACTGCCTGACTTTTTTGCCTTTGTTGTTCTTGGAAGCAGAGGGATTTCGCTCATCTCACTTCAGGGTCTTTCCAATAAGGTGCCTCCTCCTTCTCCTCACATTGTCATTCAAACTCACCTTGGAAGAAGGAGTGCTTTACCTATGAGGGACACACACAAGTCAGAAGAAAGTCGAGAGTATTCGGCCATCAGCTTCAGTCTTTGTGAGCAACATTCTATTCAAAGTGCCTGCAGACTGTTAGCTAGTGATCTCACCCCAGAGCAGCTGCATGTTTGCTAGAAAAAAATCAAAGCCTCGGCTTCCTTTATTGGTTCCTCTCTGGCCACTTCCACAGCCTGAATTCCATCATCTGAAGGGAGTGGGCCTAAAATAGCCCCGGTGCATTGCCTGGTGCTGGGGGCGGCCTGCAGTACTAGTTACTGGTCAGATACTTACCTTCTAGTCAGTTCACCAAAATGGTTTTTCTAGGTGAAGTTACTATCGATTTCAGAGAAATACTGTTTATTTAATTGTCAGTAAAATATGGCATGCATTTCTGTGGTTCTAAAATTAGGTGTTTCTTCCTAAGTATACATAGGATTACTTTCCTTTCTCAACAACAGATGTTCTCTAATGTTTTGTTTTGTTTTGTTTTTCTTTCTTGCCTTTTAGTCTTTAAAGAAGCTCAACCATGCCAATGTAGTCAAATTAAAAGAAGTTATCAGGGAAAATGACCACCTTTATTTTATCTTCGAGTACATGAAGGAAAATCTTTACCAGCTCATTAAAGAAAGGTACAGTTCGGTCATCACGGCCCTAGAAGTAAATCTTGCAAAGTGGGTGTGTTTTCTTTCTGCTCTTGTTTATTGCAGTCTCCCGATTCTTCCTCCACCGTTTAACAGCCTGGCTACTGGGCTTTAATGTGGAAACCACCTGCCAGTCAGATGAGGGGCCCTGCCCACATTCCTACTTTGGAGGCTCTGTGATAGCTTCAGGGAAGCTATTTTCAGTGCAGCTGTTTTCGTGTTTTAAAGGGTTATACATCCAAAGAAGCTCAAGGATTTAACAGACGCTGCAGTTTTCCATTCCCACGAGGACATATGAGCAGAACAAGTACAAGTCAGGGGTGGACACAGCTTCATTTATTTTGAGAGCTCTGTTGAAAAATTCTAGGTTTATTTCAATTCCTCTCTTGCTATGGTGCTAGGAATCGGCGACTAATAGGAAACTTACCTGCTATGGGAATTTTGGACTTTAAAAGTGAACCAACCATGCACAGCCTCTTGGGCACATTTTCTTGGTCACAAAATGAATGCCATTCACAGCATCTCTCTGAGTGATTTGTGCAAACCAATATCATCTTTATTGTTAATAACAGCAGTGTTGCCGCATGGTGTGCCCAACCAGAGGGAAAATGTTAACCATTGCATCCATCACATGAGGCCTTCATCTGGGACACCTCAAATTTTTCCCGCTAAAATTTTAAAAACTTTTAATCTATTTCATGGAGAGAGTAGATTTTTAGATTTTTAGATGCTATTAATATGTTGGAGGAAATTTTTCTATTTGCTATGAAATGTTTAATCTTTTCTTCTTCATAACATAAGTGAATATATTTGGGGTTTATAAGGTAAGCTCCCCTTTATGGACAAATGATCGGGGTTTTTATGGTATTATCAAAACATCTGATATTATCAAACATTTATTATCAAAAATTAGCATATGAGTGAATGGTTTCTTAGTTTTTTACTATATGACTATATAACCAAAGAACATGAAAACATGGGGTTCATTTTCATACACAAACTCTGTTTTTCTCTGCCTCTTACAGAAATAAGTTGTTTCCCGAGTCTGCTGTAAGGAATATCATGTATCAGATACTGCAAGGACTTGCCTTTATCCACAAACACGGTAGGCGATTGGAGTGCTGTGCTTTTTAATGCCAGTGAAATGTTTTCCTCCGGTAGAAGATGTAGGAAGCATTAATGCCTGTTGTAACTGACTCCTGGAAAAGGTTGAAGAGTTGAGAGGCTGATGATGGATTTTGGAATATGTTTCCTTTTGTAACTTGATTTCTGAATTTCCCTCATTATTTATCATGTCTGTGTGTTTTTATTCTTTAGGCTTTAACATTAAGCTTGTTGATTATAGATTGAGCCTTTATAGTTATAGTTAATTATTCCTGACTGTTAACTGGTATATTAATGAGAAAACTAAGATTAGAATTCTGACAAGTTTGTGTATTATGTTTGACCATTAACTATACTGTTTTACTATAGCTTCTCATTTCTGTAATGCATTTATATTTCAACTTGTTTCAAAAGGTTTAACAGTGGCCTAACACAGAATAGTAGAATAAAAATTAGCAAACTAAAAAAAAAAAAGAGGCAAAAGCAAAATAGGGTATAGATATAGCCAGCAATGTGGTTAATCCTCAAAATGCAAGCCAGCAAATTTTATTTCAGTAGAAGCAGCAGAACACAGATTTGATTGTGAGCTTGTTGTCAGATCATACAAAATGTGAAACATGTCCAATTACAACATACACAGTTTCCCGGAGGTAAAAACAGACCAGTTGCCCAAGAAAAGCAGAAATATTCTTGACACTGAGAATAGAGAGCAGCTTTTCTCATGGACTCTTTAGAGGAGACAGTATGTCACATGATTTCACTGAAAACACAGTGACAGGTTACATAAGGCAGTTTCATGTCATATCCCTCAACGGAGGCCAATTATATCACCTGATCAAAGAAAACAGTTTACTGGGGTCCAGTATGATTTGCTCTGTGAATGGTCTGGTTAGTCCAGGGAGAGATTTAGAGTATCCAGGGGAATGACGGCTGCATATACATTCAGGAAATCTTCCATCACTGTTCTTCTTAGCTGAGCTTTTGAAAGGTATTAAGCAGCAATAAGTTTGAGGTTATATTCTCCAGCAACTGCCCAGAGCATTGCTGGTCTTTGTTACTAATTGGAGGCAGAGCCAGCTGGGGTTCAATGGATACATTCTTGTGAACACAGAGCCACCAGATGGATGGATGCATGGACAAAACCAGAAGTCCCCTCAGGAGGTTATTTTGAGGTCATTTTAGTATACAGACAGCTGGGTAACGTGGCTGATTTTAACACAGGCAGAAATCCATTCGCTCTCAGTATAAGGATGTTGTTGCCATTGTAAATACTACACCAACAAATGAGTCTTATTACTCAACAAGGAGATTGGGTTGAAGCCCTTTGACAGTACAGTCAATTACTGGCAGTGAATAGAAAAGACCTTGTGCTGCAGAAGGTGGCATAGTACATCTGGGATGGTTACCAGCCTGCCCTAAGTAGCCCCTCCCAGTCAGAGACTAACTGTAACACAGACAAATAAACATAGGCTACCATGTAGATCCTCGTCAGCCTTAGGCACATGCTTAGTAATAAGCAAGTAACATGCAAGAGTTGAGTCGAATTGTGAGCCAATTCTAGTAAAAAGGTTTTAGAACAAGTTATCTCTGCCTCCACTGACAATTATAGAACTAGCACTTTAGCCTTCATTCATAAGAATTCGCAGGCGATGGTGTGAATTTGCAAAACACTAAAAACTTCTGGCAGAGTGTTTTAGGGACAAATCGGAGAAAGGTCTGCTTACTAGATTGAGAGCTCAAGAAAAAGAAATAATGAGAAGTCAAAGGGATTCTCAAAAGAGATAGGTCAACCAGCATGTTTCTAGATAGAGTTAGTGTCTCAGTTATTCGGGGTATTTGCTCAGTGCTATAATAGAAACTGAGTGATAAAGAAAGTTAGTATTCTTTGGCTTTCTCTTCTTTTCCTTTTTGTTGCTTTTCGTGAGACTCAGATATTTGTTGCCAGAAAGAAATTGTAGCGTTTTGTCCAGGTCTCTACCAATCAAATACGTGTGCATGTGTGTATATGTATATGTGCACACACACTATATACATGCACACAGAAACCACACATATGCATGCCCAGACATGTGCATACACGTGCACACATGTACACATACCACATGCATATATGCTTACACATAATCATCCTACATACACCCCCCCACAAATGCACATGCATGTGTGCACATGCACACATTTGTAGCCAATAATTTTGCATCCATATACTACTGTGTCAGAACAGCCCTTTGCAACTCTGCGCTGTCAGTTTCCTTCACATGCCTTAGACACTCAGACTGTGGAGGGAAATAGTGCAGGCGAAGGTTTGGTTTCTAGAGAAGGTCAGACTTCTGCTTGTATAACCCCAGTCCCATTGCTATTATCAGAGATTCTAAGCAGTTAAGTGCCCAGTCCTAGTGTGAGCTTAATAACAGTTTATCTGTTACTTTATTCATTTCCTTGCCAACTTCTCAGGTAGAAAGAATAGATGCCATCTGTTCCTTTCAAAAAAAAAAAAAGGAGAGTTGAGCCAGGCACCATAGCTCACACCTGTATTCCCAGCTACTCTGAAGGCTGAAGCGAGAGGATTGCTTGAGGCCAGGAGTTCTAGGCTGCAGCATGCTATGATTGTGCCACTGCACTCCAGCCTGGGTGACAAAATGAGACTCTGTCTCTAAAAAATAAAGAGAAAATTGAAGTTCAGAGAGGTTTAAAAACCTGCCAAAAGTCCCATTGCAATAAAGTGGTAGAGTGGAGATTAGTTCAGATAGTCTGTGGCCATTTACCATGCTTTACTAGAAAAACCTGTTTATTCTCAAAGAGAACAGAGAATAAGAAATGGAGAAAATAATAATAAGTGGGATGAATTCTAATTTTATAGGTCCTTTCCCATTTTCACTGATAAACGATTTTTAGAAACTTGTATGGTTTTTGTATCGTATTGACTTTGGTTTAAGTGCACGAGTACCTCCATATTATTCTTTCCTCTGCTAATGGAAAAAAAGATTTCTGAGTTTAAGGTTCTCTTCCCAGGTAGCTCATGCTCACTGTGAGAAGGTGCATTCTGCCCCCAGGGAGTAGACTCCTTTGAGAGGCGAGAACAGTGCTGCAGGTAGTTGCTATGGCCATACTTCATGTCACTGAGTGTTTTCCTCCCACAGGGAATGAAAATATGGCTCTATTTGGTGCTGACTGAACAATGCCAAAAACATATGTACTTTGCAGGAATTAAATAATTAATGCAAATGGTCTGTTTCATCCTTGACCTGCCCTTACAAATATCTAGGTCACACTTACCCATGCTCATAACAGAAATGCATTAGGTGGCTTGAAGGATAATGTTTTGCCCCAAGAAGTGGTTCTCTGCTTCTGTGTTTTACTACTGTCTTGCTGTGCATGACCTTGAGGCAGTCCTTTATGTGTTGCTGTCCTTGTGGCCTTCTTGATAAAAATATTGTAGGTTTAAATTTAGTAATATCTATGAAATGACAATTTTCACAGCAGGAAGGGGTGCTATATAAATTCATAGTGTTTAAATATTCAGTATGTGTTCATATCAGATTCATCAATAACAGAATGTGTTCCACTGTTTTGTAGTTTCCTGAATTCTAAAAAAAAATGAAAAAAAAATAAATAAATAACAGAATGTGGTGAAGGTTGGAAAGACTTCTTTGTGGCTTGATGTTTTCCTTGCCCAAGGGTCATTAATAAAAAAGCACAAAAGTTTTCCACCAGGATAAAAGATAAATAACAGAGAAATCCCTCTGTTATTCCAACTGGCATTCAGTACCCTGAAATTAAATTGATGGGCTATTTTCTGGAAGGCAGTTTTGAACAGGAAGGTTCTAATCATAATAGCACTTTGCTGTTGCATGATCTCTGAATGACCCAGTTATAAGGGTTGCCATTATGAATCAGAAGCCCAGAGGAAGAAGTGGGCTCACTGTTGTAGGTCAGTTGCACTCAACAGCAGAACACATACCCAGGTAGGATTCAGATCAGAGTTTCAGTGCCACCTCCTAACAGGTGGGGCACATCACTAGCCTCAGGAGCCTTAATTCTTATTTATTTATTTATTTATTTTTTTAGAGACAGAGTCTCGCTTTGTTGCCCAGGTTAGAGCGAGTGCCGTGGCGTCAGCCTAGCTCACAGCAACCTCAAACTCCTGGGCTCAAGCAATCCTTCTGCCTCAGCCTCCCAAGTAGCTGGGACTACAGGCATGCGCCATCATGCCCGGCTAATTTTTTTTCTATGTATATTAGTTGGCCAATTAATTTCTTTCTATTTTTAGTAGAGATGGGGTCTCGCTCTTTCTCAGGCTGGTTTCGAACTCCTGACTTCAAGCAATCCGCCCGCCTCGGCCTCCCAGAGTGCTAGGATTACAGGTGTGAGCCGTGCCTGGCCTTAATTCTTATCAGTAAAAAATGCAGCCACATCTGCCTGCCTACTTTAACAGGTTGCTGGGAGGGTAAAATGAGAGAATTTTCTAAATCACAGTATTAATAATGACTACCTCTTGCGAGGGGCCGAAGTGCCAAGCACTGCTCCAAAAAAACTTTATAAATATAACAGTAGTCCTGCAAAACAACCCCATGATGTAGATGCTATTGCTTCCCCCCCCCATTCCACAGATGAGGAAACTGAGGCACAGAAAGGTTAAGTGACTTTCCAGCCAGTGAATAACAGAACTGGGATTTGAAATTGGTCAACCTGGCTGGTCTGCACACCTAGCCACTTTGCTGCATTGCCTCTCCCATGGAAATAGTAATGTTTTGTTAAAATAGAGATGAAAAGTAGCCATACACGACATAAGGGTCTTACACTTTTAATTACCAAGGAATAGAACTTATGGATATAAGGCTAATAGCCAATGCTACATTATTCAGTAATTAACAAAGGGCTAGAAAGTCTACAAACATACTCACAAATTTGTTATAAAGGTTTCTCCTTGAAGACAGCATAACAGATGTAGCATATGTCAACGGACAGGTACAGTTTTCATCAGTCATTTTTAAGAGTCTG